GGGGAGGGGGGTTTGACTGTTCATAATCTCTGTGATGTATATGGTCTATCGATGATGATACACATCCGTCGTAGTGGCTTCCTTGGCTTAGTAGGTGGTGGGCACCAACAAACTGTGGGGTTTTGCTTGCTGTGTGCGTAAGGGATGGATTGCTTTGGTCCGTGTTCGGTGTCTAGACTGTCTTGTCTCCGCCTTCGCTGCCGTGCTTCCCACCCGCTTGCCATGTCTTTCCCTGCAACTGGTTTGTTTGCCGTGTAGTTTGGTTGTCGTACCGACGTTGCTTCTTGTCTCGCTTTGCTTGCTATACCGATGTTGTTTCGCGCCTCGCTTTGCTTGCTCTACAGGTGTTGCTCTGTGCCCCGCTGTATTGCTGCCTTGACGCCCATCTGTCTTCCCGACTCTTCCCTTAAAGTTTGCTTGTGTGCCGTGTAGTGTGGCGGTTGTGACAATGCTGCCTTGTGTGCCACCGTGTTGTAGCCTTGCTTCCCATCCGCTTGCGCTCTCTTTCCTTGAAGCTTGCTGTGGTGTTGTGTAGTTGGGCTGCCCTGTTAGTGTTGCCTGGTGCTTCGCTGAGTCGTTGCCTTGCTACCATGTTTCGTTTGTGCTGTTGGCTGTGCACAGCCCGCGTTCAGCAGGGGTTAAAAGAGTGCACGACTCCAACCATCAATATGGGGATTCCGTAGATTGTCTAGGGTTCAGCCTCCTGATGAGTCGGTCAAAAGACGATGCTCCAATCTGTTAGTGGGGAGCAACACGGCTGGGAACCGGGCCCAGCGTCCCTTATCAGAATACAAAAGATGAGCTACCGGCGCCATTACCCGGCTTCGGCTAAGAACAATTTGAAGAAAAGAGAAGAACTCTGAAACATTTATGGTCCACTACTTAAACTCTATCAAGTCACCATCTATCAGCATTAGTTTTATGTTTTTTCGCTTGTTTTTTTACGGTACTTGTATTTTTCTTGTTTGCTGTTTTTTGCCTTGCTGCTGTTTGACTCGGTGCCTTTTCCTTTGCTACTTGTGCTGTTTGTATGCCCCCCCCCCCCCTCCTCCATGCCATCCAGCATAGATTCCTCGCTCCGACTTCTTGTTCATTGTCCTTGTTGCTTCCCGTCCTTTGGTTCACTGTCTTCCGTCTACTTGAATTTACGGCCTTTGCATGACATTGAGCCTCGCTTCCCTACACAACACTCTACATGCATTTGGACTCTTTCCGGACTTGATACATTCAAACTGTTGGACTCATCCGAATGCACCTGGTTGAGAAGGTATCCCAAATGCATGTAGTAATTACTGTGTGGTGGAGTGAGGGCCGATTGTCTGTCCTCGTTTCATGAACATACCTGGCTGCGGTCCTGTTTTCTAGTGCCGTTAATCAACATACCTTTCCGCGCAACATGCCCTGCCATGGTCGTGGAAGTTCGATGCTACAACATGGAAGTTCGATGCTACGACATGCATGAATTGTAAAATGAAGATACTCCCAATGGCTGAATAGCAGCAACAGACCACAACCTGATAACAAGCAAAATTAAACAACAACTTCAAATTGTGATGGAATAGACAAGAAAAACGAATTTGTTGGCAGAGAGTGCTCAGTCCAGTAGAACAGGGGCGGCTTCCGAAGAACTTTGTGGTCCCTACCTATCATTGCTACTGTGTTCCTGGGACGATGGCCCTGGCATCGTCCCTGGTTTCCAGCAGGTGCTGCTGCCCACCAATAGACTGGAGTGTAGTGCGGTGCTGGGGCGTTGTGAGGCGGGACTGGGGCGCTGTGGGCCTGCGTGGCAGCGTTCGGTGGTGGGCAGATGCGGGCCTGAGTGCAGTGCGTTGCGGTGCGTGGGCCTGCGCCACACGGGCATTTTTTTTTTGCCCATCGCGCGTTTTTGCCCATCGCACGGGGCGCGGGGGACCAAACTACACACGCTACGTGCATTGATAGGATCAGCAAAATCGATCCCCTAGCGGGGGGG